GCTGCCTTTTTTCTCCCAGGAGTCCCTGGGATATACCATAATATCCTAACAGGTCACCTACATTATTACCATCCCTTCAAATCATGAATTTTGGGGGGCTCCTGGGTGGCGCAGTCATTTCAGCTACCAACTCTTGCTTTCCTCTCAGGTTGTGATCTCAGGGCCCTGATCTCAGGGTCTTGAGATCAAGCGCCGTGGCAGGACCCGTGCTCTGCGAGGAGTCTGCTTAAGACTCTCTCTCTGCCCCTCCTCACCTAAAATAAATAAATAAATTTTTTTAAAAATGCAATTTAAAAAAAAATTCAGTGATTTCCAGAGTTGTGCCACCATCACTACAGTCAGTTCCGGAACCTTTCCATCAGTCTAGAAAGGTCCCTCCTGCTTGTTTGCAGTCCAGCGTCCAGCTCCAACCCTAGGCAACCATTGGTCTGCTTTCTGTCCATAAATTTGCCTTTTCTGGACATTTTATGTAAATGCTATAATATGTGGTCTTTCGCTTCTGGCTTTTTTCATTCATTCTAAACCTTTTGAGGTTCATCCACGCTGTAGCAATGGGGCTGTTTGCTCTCTTTGGTTGCTGAACAGTATCCCATTGTACAGATATACCATCTTTTTTGCTGATCTATTCGATACCAGCTGATGGTCATTTGTGTTTCCAGTACTTAGCTATTTCGGATAATGCTGCTATGAACGTTCATGTAAGTGTCTTTGTATGTTATGTGTGTTGTCATTTCTCTAGGAGTAGAATTGCTAGGTTGCATGGTAAGTTTATGTTTAACTTTTTGAGAAACGGCCAAACTGTTATTCCAAAATGTCTGTACCATTTTACATTCTCACCAGCAATATATGAGGATTTGTTTACCCATATCCCTGTCAACACTTATTGTCTGTCTCTGATTATAGCTATCTTGGTGGGTGTGAGGTGGTATATCATTGTGGTTTTAATTTGCATTTCTCTAATGACTAATGATGTTGAGCATATTTTCGTATGCTTATTAGCCATCCATGGCTCTCATTTAGAAAAACATCTATTCAAATCTTTTGCCCATTTTTAAACATTTTTTTTAAAACATTTTCTTTATTAGGTGCTTGGGTGGCTCTATTGGTTAAGCAACGGCCTTCGGTTCAGGTCATGATCCTGGAGTCCTGGGATGGAGTCCTGCATCGGGCTCCCTGCTCAGCAGGAAGTCTGCTTATCCCTCTGACCCTGCCCCTTCTCATGCTCTTTCTCTCTCTCTCTCATTCTCTCTCTTTCAAATAAATAAGTAAAATCTTTAAAAAAAATTTTTCTTTATTTATTTGAGAGAGTGAGAGAGAGCATGAGAGTGGAGAAGCAGACTTCCCATGGAGCTCGATCCAGGGATTCCGGGATCATGATGTGAGCTGAAGGCAGTCACTTAATCAACTGAGCCACCCAGGCGCCCTCTTTTGCCATTTTTAAAAAGATTTTTATTTATTTATTTGAGAAAGAGAGTGCGTAGGAGAGAGAGGGAGAGATCACCAGCAGGGGGGATGTGCAGATGGAGAAGCAGACTCCACGCTGAGTGGGGAGCCCCATACAGAACTCGATCCCAGAACCCCAGGATCATGACCTGAGCGGAAGTCAGACATTTAACCAACTGAGCCACCCAGGCATCCCAACAAGTTTTTTTTTTTTTTTAATAGTGATGTCTACTGAAGTGCAAAAAACTTAAATTTTGATGACGTCCAATTTGCTGATTTTTTTTTTGTCAGTTGTGCTTTTGCTGTTGTATCTAAGATCACTGCCTAACTTAAGGTCAAGAAGGTTTTTTTCCCATAGTTTCTTCAGACATTTTATTTTTGCTCTTACATTTAAGTCTATGATCTATCTTGAGTTAATCTTTGTAGATTGTGAGGTAAGGATCTAAGCTCATCTTCTGGCAGGTGGAGAGCTGATTGTCCCAGAACTATTTATTGAAAAGACTAATCTGGGGTGACTGGGTGGCTCAGTTGTTGGGCATCTGCCTTCGGCTCAGGTGATGACCCTGGGGTCCTGGGATTCGAGTCCCGCATGGGGTTCCCTGCTCAGCGGGTTGTCTGCTTTTCTCTCTAACCCTCCCCCCCGCTTATGATCTTTCTCTCTCATGCTCTCTCACTCTCTCTCAAAAAAAAATAAATAAAATCTTTTTAAAAGTTCAAATATAACTTATACATAAAATTTGTCCTCTTGAGTGTACTTTTCTGTGAGTCCTAATGGAACTGTGTACCTACCACCATGACCAAGATATAGAACAGCTCCATTACCTCCTCACAAGTCCCCTTCCCTTTGCTGTCAACCCGTCTCCCTCCTCCCTGACCCCAAATCTCTCTTCTGTCCTTATAGTCCCACCCCCTCCCAAAAGCCATATAAATAGAATCCTACAGCACTCAGCCTTCTGAGTCCGGCTTCCCTCTCTAACCCCATCCTTCAACATCCAGCGTGATCTTTTCAAAATATAAATCTGCCTGCCTTTCTGTGCCTGAAGAGCCACTGCAGGGTCTGGCCTCGACCCATAGTTCCTGACTGTCTGGACAGACAGGATGGATGGCTCTTAAACCTGGTTTAACCACCTGAGGGCTTGTCAATACCACACATTCCTGGGTCTTGGCCCTGGAGACTGAGATTCAGTAGATGGGGAGGGGCCCAGGGATCTGTTTTTTACACAAGCCTAAGGAGATGTGGAGGCAGGTGGTCCCCGGCCACACTTTGAGAAACACAGCTGAGTCCAAAGCACTTGCCTTTCTCCTCACCAGCCCGAGCTTAGCTGTGTGGCCTCCTCTCTTTCCTTCTCAACCCCACTGTGCCTTTTCATGCCATGTCCCCTCCCGATAAGGGCTTTGGCACTTGTTTCCTCATCGTGAATGGAACACCCCTCATTCCACCCACCCTTCTCCCTGCTCCAGTTTCCCCTCTGCTCACTTGTCACTTCCACAGACAAGGTTCCCCAACTCATCGGGTGAGTCATTCTCCCAGCATACTGGTCACCTGTCATTTCTTATTTGTGTGTCTTTTTTTTTTTTTTTAGAGAGGGGGAGGGGCAGGAGAGGGAGAATGAGACAATCTTTTTTTTTTTTTTTTTGAAGATTTTATTTATTTATTTGACAGAGAGAGACACAGTGAGAGAGGGAGAACAAGATTCCCTTGGAGCGGGGAGCCCAACATGGGGCTTGATCCCAGGACCCTGGGACCTTGACCCAAGCTGAAGGCAGACGCTTATCAACTGAGCCACCCAGGCGTCCCAAGAACGAGAGGATCTTAAGCAGGCTCCACACCCAGCATGGAGCCCAACACAGGGCTCGATCTCACAACTCTTGAGATCATGACCTGAGTCGGTCACATAACTGACTGAATCACCCAGGAGCCCCTTATGGGATTTTTCTATTAACATCAGTCTCCCCAACTGGGCTGCACGAGGATAAGGCCAGGGTCTGTTTTTGCTGCTCCCTGCTTTTTCCCCAGTACCATGCATGGGGTTTGCCTATAGTAGGTACTTAACAAATATTACTGAATGAAGGAAGGAATCTTTGAGTGAGTTGTCTACTGTGCTTTGCACAAGCTGCTGCTCCAAGGCCCAGGTGACCTCGCCCCCTCCCCCACTTCTTTGCTTAGTCCACTCATACTGGTTTTTCTAGGAAAACCCCATTTGGGGAAAGTTGAGGCTCGAGCCACTCCTTGATGGTACCTCAGGGCAGACTGCTTATCACTCTAAGGACTGTTTGTTTACCCAACTGTCACCCACTTGAGGCTGGGAGGTGGCTACTGCCTTTGATCTGCGCCCTTCCAGGCCCTCTCCCTGACCCTTCTGTTTGCCTAATGCTGGAGGAGAGAGCTAAAGTGATCGCTCAAAGGGGAGTCCCCTGGCACCTGGCCAGAGCTTTCCCTAGATCATTCCTCCTACCATGAGACCCTGTATAACCCCTTGGATTTCAGAAGAAGCTGAGACCCTGGACTTTGCAAAGAAGGGAGAACTTCGGGGCGCCTGGGTGGTTCAGTTGTTAAGCGTGTGTCTTCGGCTAGGGTCGTGGACCCAGGGTCCTGGGATCGGGCCCCACATCAGGCTCTCTGCTTGGCGGGAAGCCTGCTTTTCCCTCTCCCACTCCCCCTGCTTGTGTTCACTCTCTCGCTGTGTTTCTGTCAAAAAAAAAAAAAAAAAAAAAAAAGTCAAGAAGGGAGAACATCTCCCTGGGTGCCTCTGAGGGCCAGGGTGCAGGCTGGGTAGCCAGACTGTGTTTGGAGGTCAAGGAGCAGCCCCTGTTCCTGGACACCCTTCTGGTAGGCTTCCCTCTTTGGCTGAGTGCTCTTTGCCCCCATCAGGTGGGACCCAGAGGCCCAGACAGGCCCTCTGGCTTGGCCAATGAGCAGACCTGATTTGGTGAGGAGTATGGGGAAGGGCCCCCAGTCCCTCCCTCCCACATCACGAGGACTCTGGATCTTCACTCTGAGGCTGCTCAGCTCCACCGTCTTCCCCGCCTCTCCCCGGGCACCTGCCGCCGCCGGGCTAAGAAGGGCAAAAACAATCCCGGCCAGCCAGCGTGTAGTGTCAGGGAGTCCCGCCCCTCCTCCTCTGGTTCCTCCTCCCGTGATTCTTCCCCAGGCCCCGCCCCCACCTGCCCAAGATAATTTTAGTTTCCTTGGGCCAGGAGCTTGGACACACAGGGCTCTCCCTCCCCCCAACCCTCATTCTACGTCCAAAGTCGGGACACCCTCCTGCCACCTGTAAAGAAGAAGGAGTGGATTTGAAATCAAGTCCAGGTGTCTGGGGTCCCAAGACAGAACCGGACTTTGTACCCGGTGTCCTGCCACTTCTGCTGGGGCCCTCCAGGTAAGGTGACCAAAATCGGTCCCAGCCGACAACCTGCTCCCACCCCCGGCCGCCCCAGCGCCCCAGGCTGTGCCCGTGTCAGGGCCAGGAGCTGGCAGGTTGCCCAGGTGGGCGGTTGGCGGCTGCCTGACTCCCCCCTCCTTCCCCCCCCACCCATGATGTCAGGCCAAGGGCGGGGGCAGGAGGGGGACAGGTAGTTAAGGGCCTGGCGTCTCCCTCCCTAAACCTGTGGCCCCAGCCAAGTGTTCCGACGCCCAGGGTCCAGGTAAGGACCCAGGGGGCACTTCGTCTTGAGGGTGGGAGCAGCAGCAGGTCCGGGGTCAATGTTTAAAGATTCAGCCTCCTGCTGTGTTGTTCTGGCCACCTCGCTTTCTTTTTCTCCAATCGCCCATATCCCGCCCCTTCCTCACCATCTGCCCTCAGTCTTTCCCTATTCTCATTTCCTGTCTTCCTTATTCCTTCCTTTCCTCCCTGTAGCCCGCCTCCGTCCTGCGCCCGGACAAAGCAGCTGATGGGGATGGGGAAGAAAGATCTCCGATCCTCTCCTCGGGGAGACGCAGCTTTCCCGCTGAAACTAGTCCCTCCCCACCTTCCCAGAAAAAGAGCTAGGAGGGGGCCTGAGCACCCAGGGCTGCCTAGAGGCATTCCTGACTCAGCCTGAGGTTACCCGTTTGAGGTTTTCCCAAGACTCTACCAAAGACTGACGTCTCCGCGCAAGGGCGGGGGGCACCCTCCAATTTGGAGGGCAGCCGAGGAGAGGGATCTCCTAAATTGTTAGAGCTCGGTCTCGGGATTGTTTGCCTGCTCAGAATACAGGGCCCTGCCCTAGGAAGGGGAGGTGGGGGCGGGGCAGGCCCCGGGGTCCTTCCTGGCGTCGGAATGAAGGCTGCAAGGCTAGAGGTCTGGATGCTGGGGGTCTGCGGCGGAGCGGGGACTAGGGAAAGTGTGTGTGTGCGTGTTTGGGGGCAGGGGGCAGTGTTAGGAGAAAGACCCGAGTCTGGATCTCCCTGATACCGCGGGGATGGAGAATGCACCTGTCCGCCCTTGGAAGGCCTCCCAACCCTACTGCCCCTCAAGAATGGCCCCTCTTCGTCGGCCTGTCCTAGACTGCTCTCCCCTCTCCGCCCCCTCCCCTCTCCGATCGTGCTGGGGGAGCCCTCCAAGAAGGCAAGCAGTCTGTAATGATTAACTCCACAGACACAATCTAGCATTCTTCCCAAATTAAACTTTAAGAAAGCCTACCCCCCCCCGCCCCCCCGCCTTTCCCATTGGGCGTTTTTTTCCAGAGTTAGGGAGTGGGCGGGGCCTCAGCGTCCTGGGCCCTCCTCCCAACTCCGGGTCATCTAGGGGTTTCCCGCCTCCTTACCTGGGCCCTGCAAGCTCACAACTCCCGCAAGGTTGGACCTTCCAACCACCCCCCCCCCGCCCCCATAAATTCCGATGGGGGCGGGCGGACGTGGAGTGCTGGGCTGGACCGGGGCCTTCCCGCCACCTGCTGGTCCCCCGCCTAGGCCTCAGCCCTGCCAGCCCCTCCCCTGGCTAGCGACGGAGGTGGCCTTGTTTTCCAAGGGCCCTTAATACTGGGCCCTGCCACCCGCCCTTGGGGCCAGCCAGGTGGGGCGAGATTCAGGAAGTAAACAAGGAGGCAGGAGGCTGGGAGGGCGGGAAAGAGGGTGGGGCTGGAGCCGCGGGGCAGGAGAGGCGGTTGGGGAAGCCTGGACTTGGAGTCCTAGTGTTGAGGGGACTGAGATCTTGGGGGTCGGTTCCTTCCACAGAAGCTTTCCTAGGGGCCCCGTTTGAAAGGGTCAGGACTCTTGGGAGAGTGTTCCCCGGGCCCCAGAGCTAGGACCCGGTTCTCCTCCCATCCCATCTGTTTGGTTCTAAATGCCCCACTCTTCTCTTGCCTTAGAAGGGTCTGGAAGGCAAGGTGGGATCAAAAGGCCAAACCCAAGTCTTCACTGGTCCTCCAGACCTCTGAGGCCAGATTCTAATCTGATTCTGATTTAAATCTCCCATTTCTTTGCCCAAACACTGCCCTGATTCCTTTTCCCTCTGGGATGGAGTAGGACCCCACTTTTGTTCTCTGGGTGTCCCGTGTCGTGTCGTCGTGTCCCCCCCCCCCCCCCCCGTCTCCCTGGAGTGAAGTCACCAGGGTTGGTGACCCCAGGGTAGAGGGGATGGGAGCTGGGACATTGTGCCTTGTTGATGTGCTGGAGACTTGATGTTTGCTGCTGGGTGTGTCTTGCATTTCCCGCCCCCCCTCCCCTGCAGGACCCTGAGCCCCCTGAGCCCCCTAAGCCCCCTCCCTGCCTTACCCTCCTGGCCTTTTTCTCATCTGTCTGTGTCTTTCTCTTGGGTGTCTTGCTACTTCTGCTCTGGTAGTACCCCTCTGGCTGGGACATCCCAGAGAGTGTATTGGGAGGACCTCACCCCCCCCACAGTTGACGTAGATGAGTCCTCTGGGCCCACTGTGGCCTGGGTGGTAGGAGTGGGCGGCAGCAGAATGAAAGCCTGGTAGGCCCCAGACAGGATAGGGAGCACTACATGGTTTTTTTGGGTGAGTGAGGGCATCACTGGGAGGTTGGCTCTGCTCCAGCTGGGCCTTTGAAGCCAGGCCAGGCCTTTTTTCTCCCCTTGGGTGAGGGGGGCTCCCGGACTGAGAGGTGACTAGGTGACTATGGGACCTGGAAAGGCAGATTGCAGGTCCCACCTGGACTGGAGGTGGGCCAGGGGTGGGGAGGCAAAAATGATGTCAGAGGAGCTGCAGGGCCCACCATCCTCCTTCTCCTCCCCTCGCCCATCCCTGCCTTGTGCCACCTCTCTCCCCTCCCCCCTGTTCTTCCCAGCCTGGTTGGTTGGGGGTGGGAGGGGAGAGAGGTGGGTAGAGAGGCAGGGCTGTTTGTGTTTCTCCTAAGTCAGGAAGTCATGCAGATGAGTCAAAGTTGAATAGAGAGCCCCAGGCAGTGGTGTCCCGCCCCACCCTGACTCACCTGTCCCCCAAATCCCCTCACTTAATGGTCAGGGGCCTGCCCCATCCTGGAGGGTCAGTGCCAGGTGCTGCAGGCAGCCTAACAGCACTGGCCTAGGTCTCCAGTTCTCCCAGGTCCTCCGAGGTTCCAGCCAGGGGGAGGGGTCCTGCTTCCTGTGGAGGAGGGGCCTGTGCTGCCTCTGTCCCCAGTGGGCATCTTTGTCCCAGCTCTCCTGTCCTTACTTGTTGTAGGTGCCTATGCAGTACCTGTGGGCGATAGGATGTGGGTAGGACCCTGGCCCTGCCTAGGGGTGCTGGGTGGCTCCAGACTAGTGGGTGGATAAGACAGGTGCATGGAATTGGCACAGAGGCCACAGCACAGTACAGAGCAGGAGCCCTTCCGTCTGGAAGTGGAAAATCCAGGAAGGCTGCTTGGAGGAGGTGGCCTGGGCATTGGGGCTTTAAGAAAACTGGGCAGGAGGAATCTGGAGAGGGTAACCAAAGTTTGGGGGCTGCTTGGGGATGGCCTCCCCCCCAGGCTAGTCCTGTCCTTCTCCCTGCAGCTGAGCCTGCCTCTTGCCCTCCTGGTTCCTGTCTTTCCCACCTCCTTCTCCCCTTCTGCGCATCACTCAGCACTTGGGCAGGCGTTGCCACAACAGGCTCTGGCAACTAGGTCTGGCAACGAAGCACTGGAAAAACCTGGGGCAGAGCCCAGAGGAGTGAATGCCCCATGCTTAGGGCATGCTCGGAGACTGAGAGTCACACAGTCTGTGGCACACGGAGTCTGTTGCCGCTGCTGGGCTTGTGGTGGGGGGACCCTCTTAGCTCTACCCCTGGGCAACGTGGCGCTGACCGAAGAGCACTGGACTTGGAGTCCAAACACTGAGTTCCACTCCCTGACTCACCTGTGACCGGGGCAAGAATGCTTCCTTCTCAGGAACTTGGTGTCCCCTTTTGCAAACGGGCTCACACTACCCTTCCCCAAAAGCTCCAGGAAAACTCCAGTTAGAGGGGGAGCGATAAGGTGCTGTGTCAGCTCCGAGGGGCACCCTGGCAGCTATGTGATGTCAGGACATCTGGGTCCTCTTGGTCCCTCTCTATGGGACAAGGGCACAAGAGCGGCTGCTTTCAGCCCCCTCTTCTCCCTCAGATGTTATGGAGCTGGGTCTGTCTCCACCTCAGCTCAGCAGCTCCCCAGAAGACCTGTACCTGGCCCCTGGGACCCCTCCTGGGACTCCCCCGCCTCCCGATGCCCCTCTTCCTGGGGAGGTGAAGAGGTCCCAGCCTCTGCCCATTCCGACCAGGTACAATGGGTGGATGAAGCTGAGGAGGGGCTGGTGGTGGTCGGGGTTGGGGGGGGTTCAGTGCTGGGTAAGGCAGAAGCTTGCAGTCCGCAAATTCTCCTCCCCCCTTTCTTGGGCCCCAGGAATCTTCTTCGAGAGGAGGAGCTGCGGGCGACCTCTCTGCCCTCCATCCCCAACCCCTTCCCTGAGCTCTGCAGTCCTCCTTCACAGACCCCCATTCTTGGAGGGTCCTCCAGTGCCAGGGGGCTGCCCCCTCGAGACGCCAGCTGCCCCCATGTGAGTTGTCTTGGGAGAGAGAAGGCAGGGATATGGGGGTGCTGTGGGACTGGGGTGGATACGGTGCCGCTCCCATAGAGGTGGGCGGATTTGGTCAGGGGTCCCTGTGGGTACAGCAGGCAGGGGAAGGGAAGGAACCACCCTCGCCCTTCCTCGAGTTGTTGGCGATTCCTGGGTTGCAGGTAGTAAAGGTGTACAGCGAGGATGGGGCCTGCCGGTCTGTGGAGGTGGCGGCGGGCGCTACAGCCCGCTATGTCTGTGAGATGCTGGTGCAGCGAGCTCGTGCCCTGAGTGATGAAAACTGGGGGCTGGTGGAGTGCCACCCCCACCTAGCACTGGGTGAGCTGGGGTGCCAGGGGCTGTCTGGACAGGGAGGCGATGCTTCGCACCTTGGGCTAGGCAGGTGCCCGTCTGGTCTCCGCCAACCCCTGCCGTTTGCCCTTGACCCCAGAGCGGGGCTTGGAGGACCACGAGTCCGTGGTGGAAGTGCAGGCTGCCTGGCCCATTGGTGGAGACAGCCGCTTTGTTTTCCGGAAGAACTTCGCCAAGTATGAACTGTTCAAGAGCTCTCCAGTGAGTGTGTGGGAAGGGGCTCTGGGCACTGGGACACCCCGATCCCCACCCTGGTTCCTTGACCCCTGACTCCTGACTGCTTTCCCCCCAGCACACCCTGTTCCCAGAAAAGATGGTCTCCAGCTGTGTGGACGCACACACAGGCATATCCCACGAAGACCTCATCCAGGTAAAGGGACACCCCCATCCCGTGGCATACTTATGATTGATTGCCCAGGACCCCCTATTGGTTTTTTGGCCCTTAAGCATTTTGCCTCCCCTCTGTGTGGTGGAGAGTCTAGCGCAGTGCTCAGTGACTGGACAAGTCACTTTTCCTGGCTGACTGTCAGTTTCTTTGTCTGTGAAATGGGACAATAAATGTATGCTGTACGGCTTCTCTCCTGAAGGCCTGTGCGTGTGTGTGCGTGTGCGTGTGCGTATGTGTGTCCCTCTTGGCCTTTCACCCTCTCACCCTCTTCCTGCTCTCTTCCGGCCCCAGAACTTCCTGAATGCAGGCAGCTTCCCAGAGATCCAGGGCTTCCTGCAGCTCCGGGGATCAGGACGGAAGCTTTGGAAACGCTTCTTCTGCTTCCTGCGCCGGTCTGGCCTCTACTACTCCACCAAGGGCACCTCCAAGGTGAAGTCTTTTTTTTTTTTTAAAAGATTTTATTTATTTATTTGACAGACAGAGCTCACAAGTAGGCAGAGAGGCAGGCAGAGAGGGAGGGAAGCAGGCTCCCTGCTGAGCAGAGAGCGGATGTGGGGATTATGCCCTGAGCTGAAGGCAGAGGCTTTAACCCACTGAGCCACCCAAGCGCCCCTCCAAGGTGAAGTCTTGAGGGTTGACAGCCTCAGCCCCTGGGGTCAGCCCCGGAGCTGTCTCTTCCCTTCCTGGAACGCCTAGATCTTTCTCCCCCTGTGCCCCGAGACCCTCCGCTGCTCCTCTTTCCCTCCTGGCTCACCTACCCCAGGAGGTAGTAGTGGGAAAGGCAGGTGAAGACTGAGTTTGAATCCTGGCTCTCCTTCTGTTTGCTGTGTGACCTGGGGCACTTCTCTGCCCCTCTCAGAAATCTCCCCAGCTGGTTTACGGGGACAGCAGTTAGGGGGACAGGGGCTGCCTGTAACAGGTCCCTCCTACCCATGCTGCCTAGGATCCGAGGCACCTGCAGTATATAGCAGATGTGAATGAGTCCAACGTGTATGTGGTGACCCAGGGCCGCAAGCTCTATGGGATGCCCACCGACTTTGGCTTCTGTATCAAGGTAAAGACTCGGCTGGGCCTTGGAGGGAATGGGAGCGGCTCAGGCCCCAGGATCCCACCTAGGGCTTTTGAACTCCATCTGGGACACCCAGACGCCTCTCCCTGTACCCTGCCCTGCCCCTCCGAGACAGACATCTGGTCCTAATGGCAGATATGGGACCCGCTGGTTTCCCCTTCCTACAGCCCAACAAGCTTCGAAATGGCCACAAGGGGCTTCGGGTCTTCTGCAGTGAGGATGAGCAGAGCCGTGGCTGCTGGTTAGCAGCTTTCCGCCTCTTCAAGGTGGGCCTCACCCTCCAGATCCCTTTTGCACGAGTAGCTCTGCCCTCAGGAACAAGGGAGTGCTGTAGCCTTGCTCTCTCACTATGCCCGGGCCAAGGCTGAGTCCTGGCTCTGGCCTCAGAAAGCTCCTTATCCACGGCAGAGATAGTCTTGCTCTTGGGGCATTCTGGTGTCAGGGGGGTTTCACAGCCCCGTCCCCAGCACCTGCTTGACCTCAGGCTCTCTTTCTCCCTCTGCCCCAAAGTATGGGGCACAGCTGTATAAGAATTACCAGCAGGCCCAGTCCCGCCACCTGCGCCCGTCCTGTATGGGTTCTCCACCTTTGGTGAGTGTGCACGGGGGCATTAGCTGGGCCTGGACACCCAGGCCCCATCCTGGGGAAACATGGGCGCTCTTCTGACTCCTCCACATCCTGTCCCATCTACAGAGGAGTGTCTCTGATAACACCCTGGTGGCCATGGACTTCTCTGGCCATGCTGGGCGTGTCATCGAGAACCCCCGGGAAGCTCTGAGTGCAGCCCTGGAGGAGGCCCAGGCCTGGAGGGTGAGGGGCCCACAGCCATCTGCATGTTTGTCCTGGGGACCGTGTGTGTGTGTAAGAAGGGGGAGGGGCAGAGGAAGCAGGAGAGAGAGAGACTCTTAAGCAAGCTCTATAGTCAGCATGGAGCCCAACTCGGGGCTTGATCTCACCACCCTGAGATCAATGACCTGAGCCGAAATCAAGAGTTGGATGCTGAACTGGCTGAGCCACCCAGGTGCCCCCCTCCTTGTGGGTTTCCGTGGCATGGGAGGAAGAAGGGCGTAAGGGAGGTCCCCAGGTGCGGAAAGGAGCTCTGTATTCTCGAGGTGCTGGGTCATACCCCAGTCACGCCCTGATCCCCTATGTCCCCCACTGCTCTACAGAAGAACCACCGTCTCAGCCTGCCCACCCCAGGCTCGGGCACGAGCCTCAGTGCAGGTGGGTGAGCACCCAGTGTCCTCAGGGGCGGGGGCTGCCATGGCTTCTTTGAGCATTCCTGGTGGGGGTGGCTAGGGTGGGGGGGTCTCCTCTCCAAAGTGACTGCCCTTCTGCGTTCCCCAACTCCAGCCATCCACCGCACCCAGCCCTGGTTTCACGGACGCATTTCCCGAGAGGAGAGCCAGCGGCTTATCGGGCAGCAGGGCCTGGTAGACGGGTAAGGGGCAGGGCTGAGCAGGAAAACAGACCCAGGGATAGGAGGGACCCTGTGTCGGGGTGGCAGCTCTGGGTCTTCAGGTGACATTGCCCTGTCTCCTGGCAGCCTGTTCCTGGTCCGAGAGAGTCAGCGGAACCCACAGGGCTTTGTCCTCTCCTTGTGCCACCTGCAAAAGGTCAAACATTATCTTATCCTCCCGGTGAGTCATCCCCGTCCTCCTCCTCAAGCCCCTGGAGCAGCTCCCCAGCTCCTCCCCCCGCCCCCACCGTGTGTCTGGGGTCTCTCGGGGAGATGCCTGCGCCCCCGCACCTCCCCCGACCTGCTGTCCCCTCTGGCTGTCCCCCAGAGCGAGGAGGAGGGCCGCCTCTACTTCAGCATGGACGACGGCCAGACTCGCTTCACCGACCTGCTGCAGCTCGTGGAGTTCCACCAGCTGAACCGCGGCATCCTGCCCTGCGTGCTCCGCCACTGCTGCACCCGTGTGGCGCTGTGACCCGCCTCTGGCCGCCCGGGCGCGTGTGGAGCAGACTCCAGGGCACAGAAGCTCGGGAGGGGAACCCTCCCCGGAGAGGGCGGTCTGCTTTGCTCCATTGCCTCTCCCTCAGGCAGCAAGCGCCCTTGCCTCACCCCCCACCTCTCTTCTCAAGAAAAGGCACTGGGGGTGGGGGCTCCCCTCCACGGAGCTCCTGGGCTCGGCCCTGGGGCAGGGCATTATGGGAGAAATGGGGCAGCCCAGGTGGTCTTAGCCCCCCCCCCAACTTTGTACAGACTGAGAGGCCAGTTGATCTGCTTTGTTTTATATGAGTGTCAATAAAGCTTATTTTTTGATACATCCGTGAGTTCTGTCTGGCAAGACCTGGCTAGTGGAGTGGAGCAGGGGAGTAGGAGATGGGGGCACCAGGCCTTGGCAAATGTGTCAGATGGCTGGGACCACATGTCCTCCAGCCTGGACGTTTCTTGAGAACAGGGTGGTCTTGGTCATCGGAGTCTCCAGTGAATGAAAGCATGTATGAGGGACTGTCATCCAGGTGCCATCTCCTGACAGGCCCTAAAGGAAGTCCTGTGGGCTGACTGTTCAGATGAGTCCTGACAAACACGAAGTTAGGAATCTCCCACCCCTATCCGGATACATGGCCCAACACCTCTCCCAAGTCCTCATGAACCCCACATCAACTCCTCTCTCTCCTGCTTTCTTTTTTTTCAAAGATTTTATTTTTTTAATTAGAGAATGAGAGAGAGCACGAGAGCGGGGTGAGGGGCAGAGGGAGAAGCAGACTCTGCTGAGCCAGGAGCCCAATGTGGGGCTCGATCCTGGGACTCAGAGATCATGACCAGAACCAAAGGCAGACGCTTAACTGACTGAGCCACCCAGGTGCCCCTCCCTCCTACTTTCTGTCCTTATAGTTTGCTCCCTCTAGAAGGCCATATAAACGGGACCCCACAACACTCAGCCCTCTTAAGTCTTGCTTCCCTCTCCAACCCACCCTCCAACATCCAGAGTAATCTTTCCAAAATACAAGCCCAGATGGACCCTGTAGGGTCTGGACTCTCCCCACTGCCCATGTTGGTCTGTTACAGTCTAAAAAGAGTTTTGTCAAAACATTTTACAGGTTTTGCTCTTAGGTGACAGGAGAGCTTTAAAATGACTCAAACTGGCAACACCTGGACTTGCCATTTGATCTTTAAATCACAGAGGAAGACCTCTCCAGACACGTGAGCTCCAACTAGGCATTATTTTTGCCAAGAAGTAGAACCTCAGTCTCATCCCTTGGATCTAGCGGCTAGTTTATCAGAAAAAAATGGACAGAGGAACATGTGAAATGACACACGGGGATACGATTACCCAAATCCAGACTAGGAAACTACAGAGCAGAGAACCCAGCTTTGACAACAAAATTACAAGAAAAGATGGGGAATCTCTAGATCTCAAGAAATTCAGCCATACGTGTAATGTGTTGACCTTGCTTGATTCAAATCTGAACTAGCTAACTGTAAAAGACATTTATGAGCAATCGGGGGAAATTCTAACTCTGATGAGATATTTGATGATATTAAGGAATTATGGTTAACTTTTCAAGGGGTGATAATGGTATTTGTGTGTGCGTGTGTATGTGTTTAAGTCTTCATCCTTGAGAGATTCATTCTGAGGTACTTATAGGTGAAATGATGTCTTTGCTTTGCTTTTTAAAATAACCCCAAGGTTAGGGATGTGAATATGGTCATAGGCTTGCCATAAGTTGATAATGGTTGAAGCTGGGTGATGGGTACATAGGGATTCATTAAATTCTTTAAATTTGTGTCAGCTTGAAAATTCTGTAATACAAAAAATTTTTAATGGAGAAATCTCTCCCCGAATCTTTGAGATTGGGCATGAGGTGGTGGTATCCTGTTTTGTTGGTGAGGAACCTGATGGCTCAGCGAGACCTGCCCCAAATTACAGTTAGTGGGAGAGCCAGGATTTCAACCCAATACAGGTCTGGGCTGTTCTGCTGCCCCTGCCTGGCTGACTTCCAGGTGGAATTCCTAAGTGGCCTGCGGGGGTGGGGATGGGGAGGAGGGGTGGGGGTGTTTTCCCTTGGAGAGCCCCTCCCTTCTCTGTAGCTCTGGTCTCTGGCTGGGGGGGAGGGGGTTGCCCTGAGATGACCCTGAGAAGGACCAGCCACCACAGCCAGCCCTTGGGCCAGGCTTCTCACCCCCAACCTTTGGGGCTGGGGAGCCAGGCCTGTCAGACAGAGGGGGGAAGATAGGCCTCATCCACCCTCTAGCTTAGAACCTTCTGGGGACTTACCCTGAAGAAATTACTGCGGCCAGGCATGAGAGAGGTACAGGTTTTGTTTCTTGTTAACAGGACTCCCTCAGGCAGCAGGGACCAGAGCAACCTGTTGCCTGCTGCCTGCCATGGTTTCCAGAACCATCCCATCACCAGCTCCTCCTTGGGCCTGAGCTGACTGGTGCTGGCTATGTGACTGGCCAGGGATGCCCAGGTCCCCTTCTAAGGTGTGGGTGCTAGGGGTCCATGCTGGGGTGGGAGAAAAGGGGCCAGAATGAGTCATGTCCAGGGATTTAAGCTGTATAAAAACAGAGCCCAATGTCTCTTCATAGCCTGAGGCACCAGTCAGGGGACAATGGCCTTCTATGTCAATCAGCTAATTAGAGTATGTGGCACAGATATCGTTTTCACTTCATGCAGAGGAAACTGAGGCTCAAAAAGCGTGACCCACCTGAGGTCTTATATGGAGTTAGAGGCAGAGGTCAGACTCCGCCCAGCTTTAGGTTGTAGAACGTAGCCCTTCTCTGCCCTTCATTCTCTGCCCCCTCTGTTCTTTTTTTTTTTTTTTTTTTTAAGATTTTATTTATTTATTTGACAGAGAGATCACAAGTAGGCAGAGACACAGGCAGAGAGAGAGGGGGAAGCAGGCTCCCTGCTGAGCAAAGAGCCAGATGCAGGGCTTGATCCCAGGAACCTGAAATCATGACCTGAGCCAAAGGCAGAGGCTTAGCCCACTGAGCCACCCAGATGCCCCTACCACCTCTGTTCTTAGTGCTGGCTACTGTGAAGGACCTGGACCACTGCAGACCCTTTGAGGAGGCAGCTGGCTTGACCCTGAGCAGCACACTGGCAATCAACAGATGAACGTCCTCGCTGGGTGGCTGAGATCTCTGACTTCTTGGAGGAGAGGCAACCGCCGAGAATGTGGGGGACAAGGGCCCCTCAAGATCAGCTTGCAGAAGGACCCAGGACAAGACTCCCCAGCTCTGAAGACGTGGGAAGGCTGCTGTTCTACTGCCAAAGAGGCTGAAGCATGACCCATAGAGGCCAGACGGCAGAAGGGACTTCCAAGGACAGCTGCAGTGTGGCTAGTGGAGGCTTGTGGATATGATGGAATCTGGGCTGCTGGGAGGGCAGCAGGGGCCTTGTGGAGAACATACAGACCAGCACCTAACAAACTGTCTTTTCAGTATCAAGTTATTGGGTTTGATTTTAAAAAGTGTATGTGATTTTTTTTTTTTAAAGATTTTAGTTGAGGGGTGCCTGGGTGGCTCAGTGGGTTAAAGCCTCTGCCTTTGGCTCAGGTCATGATCCCAGAGTCCTGGGATCGAGCCCGGCATCAGGCTCTCTGCTCAGCGGGGAGCCTGCTTCCCTTCCTCTCTCTCTGCCTGCCTCTCTACCTACTTGTGATCTCTGTCTGTCATATAAATAAACAAAATCTTAAAAAAAAAAAAAAGATTTTATTTGAAAGAGAGAGCAGGGGGAGGGACAGAGGGAGAGGGAGAGAGAGAATCTCAAGAAGACTCAGCCCAGAGTTCAGAGCCTGCCTAATGCGGGGCTTGATCTCATGACCCTGAGATCATGACCTGAGCCAAAATCAAGAGTCAAATGCTTAACCCACTGAGCCACCCCAGCGCCCCAAAAGTATATGTACTTATTAAAGTACATTTCAGAAATCAGAAAAAGACTTTGGAAAAAAAAAAAAAAAAGAAGATTCCCTGTCATCTCCCTGAGGGGGAGCCAGGCTTTGACAGGGGGTGACACAGGGCCCCTATCCAGGGGCTGGCCGGAAATGGTCTGTAGCACATCCTGGACACCAGCTCTTAGGGCTATTATGACTGGTGTGAGCCTGGAGCCAGGGTATGTGGCTCACCCCGGGCCTGTAGGAGGATGCGGCCACAGGGCTGACCTCCCTGCCTGGTCAAGTGTGGAGGGCAGGGAGGGTTACTGGCAACTTTGTGGACTTTGAGAACAGGTGAGCATGATTCTAGGGAAGCCCACCTCCCCCGGGATGCCCTAGGTGGGACATCCAGACAGACAAAGCTCTGGACAATTGATGCTTTCACTGATCCCCAGATATCCTGTTCAGTGAAATCTACACGGACTCCAAGTTCATGGGTGGAGGGCATCCTGGTGCCAGTGGTGGGTTCAACATTGGGTCAGTGATCCTGCCTGGCTCCTTCCTTGTGCCCAGTGCCAGGCATCCTGAGGAGGGAGGGAGGAAAGAAGAAAAGGAGATAGGCAAGAGAGACCAAGGCTATTCAGAAGGATCCTTTCTTCCAAAACGTCTACATAAGCAGTTTTCTACTGTCTTTCTGCAGTCCAAAGGTTCCAGCAGGAGTTGGGAGGCAGGTTGGGGTGAGGTTGGGGAGAGCATTGCCTTTGTATATGGTAGTTCGCCTTCATGGTATAGTTGGAAAAAAGGCTTCCATGACTATAGGACTGGTCTAGCAGACAGAAAAGAGGGCCCAATCACACAGAGGTGGGGTCTGTGGCAGAGTCTGTTTTCCTGTCCCATGCTGTTGGCAGAACCTTAGCTTTGGGGCTAGGGAGTGAGGTGCACAGTGTGACTTCTTAGGACAGAGGATTCTCAGCTTCCAGCTGGGGCAGGGAGTTGAGCAAGGAGGGAAAAGACATCAGGATCTTGGGGAAGTTGGTGTTGCAGACTGGAGTCTAGAGCCACAGAATGGGAGTCCCTGGGGGCTGAGGCTGGTCCCCAGGGGTTCTCCAAGATCTCCATATGG